TCGGAGTGCCACCACACTCCTCAAAGCGAGTGCCTGAACGAACTGCCGAATGGTTTGCGAGCTCTTCGCCGATGGCCGTATATGCTGTCCAAAATTGCCGGGCTCCGGCGCTGTCCTCGAGGGCAGGTCGTGCCGCCTCGGTCGGTCCCGAAGCCGAGCGGACGCGCAGCCCCGCGAAGTCCCGGGCCCCGCGTCGGGTGGATCGATGACTCGGAGCCCAGACTCCGTGGCGAACCGGCGTCGGGGCCAGGGCCAATGGCGCGTGCTCTACGCTCGACGGTGGAGTGTGCAGTCGCCCAGTCAATGGGGGGTCGCCGTTCAACGCGTGCCCCGACGAGGAGTCTGTCGTTTGGATGACGTCGCTGGTGTCGGAGTACCCCGAGCAAATTGTTTTTTGTCGCCAAAGATAAGAGTTGTTATTCCGCGGAGATGTACGGCCTGTTGCGGCGTAAAAACTCGGAAAAAACAAACACACCCCCAGCAAAAAGAAAGAAAAAAGAAAAAAAAAAAAAAGACGACGTTTAATTTGCTTAATGCCCAGCGTGTCGAGGCGCACCCATCCAGCACATTCGGTAAATTATGTTTTCTTCCGTTTTTTTTTTTTTTTTTTTCTTCTTCAGCCATTGTGCATGAACAGCAAAAATACGGTTCTACGATTCAAAAAAGAACGGTGAGGTCTATATTTGCCCGTTGAGACGTTCACACCACAGAGTGATGGAGTGCATACTTTTCACAGAAGAAGCCAAACCAACAACTGTCCCCCCCCCCCCCCCCCGCACGCACACACAAACACACAAACTTTTCCCCACAGGGGAAAAAATATTTTTGTAATCGTTTTGTTACAGCGTAAGTCCGCAACATTTCAGCCATGTCGTCTAAAAAATAAAAATACGTAGAAAAACAGAAAAAAAAAATCATCAACAAATCGTCGAAAAAGTTAACCACTATCCTAACCATATTTTAAATTCGACACCGACAGTACGCGGTAAAGTCACGCATCGTACGAAACCTCGCCTCCACGTGACGTGCAGAAATGGTATCCCGCGAAGCAGGCGGCCTCAATGGGCATCTGGAGACGGCGTTGCCTCGATAAAGCGAAAAGTAGCCGAATCTGGCGGGGCGCTACGAGAATGCCAAGTGGCCGGAGGAGTACAGCAGTTTTCTCCACACAGTGTATCGGTGGGCGAGCAACGAACCCCTGGCGGGGCGACGCGGTCCCCCCCTTGCGGCAGCTCGGCGACTGATTGGCGGGGAGGTGGGGGAAGCGCTGTATCGATTTAACGACCGGGTTCACAAACACTTTAGCCTCGTGTAACGACCAAATTAGGATAATCCTGTTTGCGCCCGGGACCCGGGGAGTTTGTCGCTCCACGCGAACCGTCCGTTGTGCGCGGCGGCGGTTTCATGAACCCCCCCTTGGGGGTTGGGTAGAGACCGGGCGTCTCTCTGCACATGCCTCCGGGTTCAGACCCGAGGTTGCGCCGGGAACGGGAAGAGGAAGCGTCCGTGGCAAGTCGAGCACCGATTGCGGTCTCTTCTTGCCCGGGAATTCAGTCCGGATCGGGGGTCTCCAAGGAAGGGTCTTTTACTCATCTTTGTTTCCAGCGCGATGAGTCAACCAGTCGCGTAAATCACGTACTGTGGTATTCCGGAACCTTACAAAGCTTGGAGCTGGATTGGCTGAAACGGCGTGAGAGCCGCGAGCATATGTACAAAGTGGTTCTCAACCCCCCCCCCCCCCCCCCCCCCTCTCCGGTCCCCCCATGAAAAGTAGTTTTTTTTTTCTTGTTTACCGCAAAAATAAACTACGTTCGGTGGTGGCGCTGGCTGTCGGAAACAGATGCCAAAGTTTCAGAGCTAACCCTCATCTCTTCAGAAGTTATCAGCGATTTTCTGAAATTTTCAATGGGGAAATGGCGGCCTCGAATACACGGAGCTGAATGGCAGCAGTTACTAAGAACGGGCCCCTTTTCTCTATTTAAATTTTCAGAGAATCACTTGCAACTTTTGAATGAGATAACATTTTGGTTGGAAAGTTTGGCCTCTGGTTCGGATTGTTAGGGGTACATTTGAGCGGAGAATTAACTTTCGTCGACACCTGATTTATTCTGCGGTAAAATAACAACCCTATATATTTGTACTTCTTTTACAGAAAGTAGGGGGGGGGGGGGGGGAGAGAGGCACGTTGCACATTAGCACACAGGGAATGCGCGAAGCACGTGTACACAGGATCGCTTTTGGCATCTAATTTTTCCGACGTTCCCTATCGTGATGTTTGTCCACGGACGTTTTTTTTTTATTTTATTTTATTTTTATTTTTGATCCTATTTGAAATGTACGTAATTTGCACACCTCGACTCTACGACACATGCAGTTCAGACGTGGAGGCAATACGCGTAAAAAAGCAATGGGATTCCTGAAGCAGAAAATTACCCTCGAAGAGGTACATGAAAGACTGAACTTTATGGTGCGAATATGATGCGGTACGCGCGCGGAACACGGCAACGGTTCGCTAAAAGTCCCCAATAACAGGTCTTCCGAATTTATAGACCTTTTTTTCCAAGTACGCCGCCATCTTGAATTGTCGTCATTTCCAGTATGGGCGAAAACATTTGCCTTTGCCACGCCAATAGAAGGCATTTAGGATATAAGCGTAACCGTCGCACATTATCATTTTGCCTCCCCCTTATTTTTGTAGTAGTTACAGGTTGAAACGTTGTAGTATTTCTTCGTCGCCCATACCGGATACGCCTAGTAGGTGGCTGGGAACGAGAGTACACAGGAAAGGTCTATAGGGAGTATTCACTGGACGCCATATTTGTGGGTGCTGTTTAGTGCGCATGCTCAGAACGAGCTCACACCAATAGGCTGCTAAGACCGGCACTCCTGATGGTGCGGAATGCACGTTGCAAAAGAACCGTGGAAGCTCAGCATTCGCGCACACAGCTATGGCCGCCAGTGAATACTCCCTATACGATGCCTTTCCGCAGGTTTTTCAAGAAACCCGAACTAAGCACGTTTTCTGAATACTCAGGATTTGCTCTATACGGCATGCTATTTATTATCTATAATCTCAAAATAACTAAAAAATAAAAATTAAAAAAAAAAAACGGCGAGCGAAGGTGTTTTTAAAAGAAACATTCAAATCTTCCCGCGCTTTCCATTGGATGACGTCACATGTTGTATACCTTGCAAATCGAGCATGCAGTTTAAAAATCTGCATGCTCGATTTGCTGGCGTTCATTTGAATGAATTAGCATTAATTTCACACCATTAAACATCTTCTGACCCGTCGGGAACAACCTGTCTGACCTATCTTCCTCCGTAATACAACATTCGACGTCAAGTTTTCGGTGTTGCCATTAAAGGCTCTCCCAACCTTTCAGGCCACCGATAATATTATTGTTTCTCGTAATTTGAGTTTCTCAGCAAATCAACGAATATAAAAATTTTGCCGGATCTTTCCTAGAATAGACTCCTTTCAAACCCCCCCTCAAGCAACATTGGCGATTTGCCATTACTTAAACACGGAGCGCGTGGTTGGATCCGAATCCGAGTCGAACACTGACGCGATGCTCGTGTCCAATACGTGCTCGTAGTACGCGCTCAGACAATGGCGTACTCGGGTAGTCGGCACAATAGCCACAAGATGGCGTTTACTTTGGAAACTGGTCCATTCAGCGTCTCGATAGACGGTCGTACACCTGTCCGTAGGTGAACAGAGAAAGCGAGCAGCCGCACCCTGGGCTCTCACTGGCCGCGCTATTGATCCGCGCCCATAACAAACTGTATCGACGTCCCGCAGTTAACCCGATTCCCAATAGCTGCCCCAGGTGGTTCCGACCGGCGAATGGTCCTGCTCGGCCGGGGGCTCCGGTCCGGGACGGCGGACGTCTCGGCGACGAATCGCCCAGGAGGGGTCGGTGCCTGATTCGATTAGGGCTCATCGGCGGGGCCGCTAATGGGATTCGTTAGGGACCGGGCAAACCTGATTAGGTCCCACTCCGGGTTTCCGCACCGACACCCAGTGTCCGACCTGCTGCGAGGGACCCGCCACGGGGATCGGTGGAGGACACCACCGTCGGGTGGCGACGCCGGGGGTGTCGGGTACGGGGAGGCGCCACGGGGGATTTCGGAGTGTTTTCTACTGTTCGGTTGGGGTCACGTGGTTTGCGGGCCGCGTTTCCGATACAGAATGCGAGGAGGAGTGGAAGGCGTCGATAGTTCGCGAGCCGTCTCCAACTACCTAGAAGACTAGGCCTGCCTATGACGTCACCAGTAGTGGATCCCTGATCCGCCCCAAGAGGCAAACACGCGAAGCTCGACGGATCCACTAGTGATTACGTTTGGGGGAGGGGTGTTTGCAGGCCTTGTCTTCAAGATGGTATTGGTACAGGTCGGCGGAAGGCAGTGAGGGGCGCGAACGCTAGCGAGCAACTTTTGAGAGGTCGGGCATTTCGATGGGAAGACGTTCTCGCGCGAGTGTCCTTAACAGCGCCGCTCACTCTTCGAGGCTGAGCACGGTCAACGAGAACGACGGTCTTTCGAAGGATACAAATGCGAGTGTGCTACAGTGGACACTAGCTTCGTTCGATTCACCTGCACCTCTTGAACCGGTGCACAAAATTGCGGGACAGTGTACTTCCGGTATGTGCCTTGAGATACGACCGGAAGTACCCCGCCCTACACCTTTCTGCACCGGTGCAGGTGGGCTGGTGGGCTGAAACGGCTCCCCATGCTTCTGCGGCTTTCCTGGCAGTTTTTAAAGAAGCCTTGGTTCATACTTCACTCGGAACGCGAAGCTTAGATATTTAAGCTTTTTTTTTTTTTTTTTTTTTTTTTTTTTATAATTTGAAAGACAATAGTGTTTGCTAGAACGGTAAGCGCAGCACACGTCCAGTTCTATAGTGTGTCAGATCATACTGTCTAGGGCTGTACAGCGTGCCTCTAGAGTCCATACGCCTGCTCCCGCATTCAGCAGGGCGGTTCTTCTGTCGCAGAAGGCGGGGCTGACGGCGGCACGTCGGACGGCAACTCGGAGAACAGCTCCTCCTGCGACGAGGACTCCCAGATGCGTCTGCGGCTGAAGCGGAAGCTGCAGCGCAACAGGACCTCCTTCAGCAACGACCAGATCGAGGCGCTCGAGAAAGGTACGTGGACCCCGCTGCGTGACTCGCTGCCGAGCGAGCATCGCCCCGTTGAATCAGGGATAAAGAAACTTCGCGGAAAAGTAAAGGGACCTTCTGTAAACGGCTCGCACGTGACGTCACAGCTTTGCCGCAAGTTGCAAGAAAATGGGCGCTCAGCAGCAGGCTATCACAATGACTGCAGGTGTGACATTCCAGCTAGCCATTTATTGGTTTCCTAACTTCGTATACTATACTGTCTGGAGTCATATGCTCAAACATTTTACGTACAGAATGCATTGGTCGTGGTCATCTAATGTGCCCTTATACTCTAGTAAGCTTATAACTATTAAATAAAAAGGTCCATATACTGAGCACGACGGAAGAGGAGAAGGGTGTTGGAACAAGGCTACAAAGGAGGTCGAAATTTTACTCGGGCTTCGCGCACCTCCCGGTGGTGCACTGTCGGGTTGGGACTCGGCGTCCTGGCAAGGTTGCGTGCTGCGCGGTCTTGAAAACGTATGAGCGAATAAGGACGGTTCCTCGAGAGCTGGATTGATGCATGGATGGATGAGGCTGAACCTCTTGAGTCATGCGGCAACTTGCGTCACCTAGCCAGTGTTTCCTTTTTTTTTTCCTTAGATTTACTTAACATATGGTTATATATCTAGATATTTATTCTTAAAAGTTACGATATGTACGACGAAGGCGCCTCTATGCAACCGGGTGCACACACTTTCCGCCCTATACGGGTCGCACGGAAGGGAATAAGAAAATATTCATTCTTCTCTCGACCTACGCCACTAGTCAGATGACCTCTTCTTGGTTACGTCCAGCTTCTCTGTGTCTATTTCTTTTCTCACTATATCTAAATACCAGTGCGTTTGTTAAATTAGCCGCCTCTTCAACTACTACAGGGTGAAGCCCCTTACAGTGAAATATCAAGTGCTCGGCCGTCTCATCCTCCTCACAACAAGCGCCACACACCATACCTACTTCCTGATACCTAACTTTATATGCCTTAGTCCGCAACAAATCCGTCCTCGCCTCGAACAACAGGGAGCTCCGCCTAGAATTGTCGAAGAATAGTAACTTCCTTCTTAAACTATCTGCAAATTTCCAAGGCCGACTTAGTCTGGATGCCTGCTTCCCGTTTCCCCCCCTAAGTTTTTTTAATTCTCTTCTTAGTCTTCATTTTCTCATCCGCCTCCTTGTTATTGCCCATATTTTAAGATCGGAGTTTTCTAGTCCGCTTTCTTTACTTTGTGTCGACGCTTCTCACGTGTGAATGGCTAAGAACTCTTCGTGCCCATCGTTCTGCATCTGTTATCTCTCAGCCTATCCTCAAAATATATCTTACTGCTATAGCTTTCCTGCCATCGGATGAGGGCAGCGAAGCTAGAGCTCCTCCTGTCATGCTGCGCCATCTCGCGGCATTTTTCGGCCATTGGAGTAACTGTTCGACACACTTGCTCCCAGGCGACGCCATTCAGACACCTCCCTCCTCTTCCACCTCTTCGAGCTCCAAAACAATTCTGAGGCGGGGCAAATACCACCAGCCGAGCGAGACCTCGAGGGCAACATTCGTGCTATAAAGCCCGTCGGCACTGTACATAAAGAAACGATGATTGCCGTGCTCAGTGCCCACAATTGACGTTGGCTAAAGCTCCGCCGCAGAAGGCGGGGATCGCGAGCACTGAGTCATGTTCCCGCGCAGAGTTCGAGCGGACCCACTACCCCGACGTGTTCGCCAGGGAGCGGCTGGCCGAGAAGATCACCCTGCCGGAAGCTCGGATCCAGGTACGTACCTGCAGGCAGCGGCAGTCGGGAACCGCCGCATTTAAGCACCACCGTCGAGGCGCGATCTCCCAACCAGAGGGAGAGGAGAGAGAGAGGGCTTTGCACGAACAACGGTCCAGGCCTCCGCCCGACCTACTCATGCCGAGTGCGCAGCTCAGACTATAAATGCCATGGACAGGGCAGGTTTCGTGCGACGATGGAGGTGTGCGTGAATTTTAGAATCCGTTGCGGACTCGTAGTGGGAAAAAAGTTATAATTAAATCGCCGGTTCCACGGGTATTTGATATTTACCTCTAACCGTAGCTGCGTTTGAGCCCGCGGCTGGAGTGTACTGCGATGCCTCGAACGCGTTACCGAATGGTGTGTTTAGCGTCCTATTCCGCGCATGCGCCGAAAGTGGTCCCGCGAAGTGGCAGCACATGCATGACGTCCGAAAAGCCGGAGTGTTGCGCTGTCAGATGTCGGGATCGTGGTTTCATCTCATTTATTTACCTTGAGGACCCGTTTCTGGGTAGTACACAAGGAAGGGTAAGAAGAGACTGTTTAAACAAAAAGGGGGGAAAAAAATAGGAAAAATAGTATAATGTTAAATGGCGATAACAAGTTAACGAATCAGTATACAATTTTATAACTCGTTCATTTGATCTATGAAAACACTGAGAAGTTCACAAAACTTAGAGGTGCTTATTTCTAGTACAATGCCTTTGGGTTATGAACTGTAATCATCAATAGCAATCGGTAGCCTGGAATTTGGGAAAAACAATGATGAAGTGTGGATGAATTTTATTTTAGAGACATCGTCAACCCTAGCGGAAATTCGATCTGGGGAGCTGAGAAAAAAACATTTTTATCTGCGGATTGTGATGATATATTTTATGAATAAGCGCAAGTCAAAAGAGTCTTCGACGAAAAGAAAGTGTTTTTTGACTAGCCCGAGTACGAAGTGAAGTGATACTCATGGTATGGGAAGAGTAGTCGGAGTGAATGTAACTCGGTTCTCTGATCTGAATTTCTTTAGTTCGTAAGAGAGATAATTTGGAAATGCTGACCACATCGATGATGTGTATTCTAGTTGGGATCGAACCAGGGTTCTCTAAGCTAGCCTTTTAATTTCGCGCCAACAGAGTTTGAGGTTACGTTTTCAGTATCCGAGTGTGCGGTTAGCTTTTAGGACAACTTCGTTAACGTGCTTATTCCATGTGAGATCGGTGATGAGTTGAAGTCCTAGGTACTTCTATGATGTGCAGTGACCAATGTGATTTATACCTAATTGGTGAGAAAAGACAGACGATGTAGTACGACAAGTGAATGATAGTAACTTGCACTTTTCTATGTTTAGGACCATCTGCCAATTGTTACATCACTGTTCAATCACATTGAGGTAACTTTAGAAGCGTTCTATGGTCATCTGACCTTTTGATGGATTTGTAAATGACGCAGTCGTCTGCGAAGAGATGCACGGGCGTGATAGAAGCTTTTTTAAGTCGCTGATGTATGTTAATAATAATAATGGGCCTAGTACGGTTCCTTGTGGGACGCCTGAGCTGACAGAGGACCTGCATGAAATTTTGTTATTGATGACTGCATAATGCGTGCGATTTGTGAGGAACTCTCTGACCCAGTCTATTATGCTTAGAGAAAGTTTAAGGGAAGATAGCTTTTTAATGAGGCGTTGATGAGGTACCCTATCAAATGATCTTGAAAAATCGATGATTATGGCGTCACTTCGGAGTTTGTTATCTAGGTTAAAAAAAAAGGTAATGTGTAAAGTGTAACAGCTGGGTTTCACAGGAAAACGTTTTGCGGAGCCCATGCCGGTTCGAACATAGCAAGTTATTAGATTTCAAGCAGTTAATTCTGTATGAATATTTGGTGTGCTCTAGAAGCTTGCAAGGAACACTGGTGATTAATATAGGGCGATAGTTGGCTACTTGGTTCCGGTCCCCCATTTTGTGAATGAGCAGTATTTTTCCTACTTTCCAGTCGTCCGATAGCCTTCCTGAACTTAATGATTGTTTAAATAATTTGTAGAAGTAATGCGCTACCATTTGCTTTGTATTTTCTAAAATTTCTGAGGTTATCAATTTCTTACCAGCGCTTGAAGAAGTGTTTAGGTTTTCAGTTTCTTTAACAACCCCGGGATAGGAAATACCGATCGGGTTTATTGGTGCATGGTCTAACGTGCTCGGGTTAGGGGTGGTATCAAGATCTTCTTCTGTGAATACCGAATTCAAAATGTGTTAAGCTTTTGTGCGCTTTCAAATTTCAAATTTCACATCGTCGTCATCAAAAAACGCCAAAGCGATCGCAGGTGTATAGGTTTATAATTTTCCAAAACTTTTTTTTTGGGTTGCTCGTAGGAATATTTTTTAAGTCATGTTCGTAAAACTTTAATTTTGCTTGTGCGATCGCATTTTTATGTACCTTTGCATGACTTGAATATTTATTCCAAAAGTGGTGTTAATTTCGAGGGCGTTAATTTTGCTTTTTTTAAAAAGTCGTGTTTTTTTATTCATTTTGTTCATACGCCTCATTGCTTTCGTGAACCATGGATTGACGTTATCTGATCGAATCCTTACTCTTGGTACGCAGGAATTGCAAAGAGAAGACATCATACTTTTAAAGCGGCCCCAGTTATCACTGATTGAATACTGGTCGAAAGTGGACATAAACGAACAGTGAAACGATTCTAAGCCATCGTTTAATGTCTGATAGTTTGCTTTGTTATAGTCCATTATGTATGTAAGGTATGCAGATTTTCGGGTTGTAGGAATTTCAGCGAAAAAATGTGTTCCTAAGTGATCACTCAGCCCCGGAACGTACGAGCTGCCGTTGATGTGGCTTGGATGAGACGATAAGCATATAGACGAATGGTGCTGCAAGAAGAGCCTATATACAAGATTACAATACGAAATTCAGGTTTTTGGGGAAGACTTCTATATCTTTTATTTCTGGGCATAACGCGGTGGTTGGACGTAGAAGTTCCGGCAAAATAGCACGAGCAAACGCGTGTGTTGCTGTCGTCGCGGCATCCCAACTTCCGGGGCTTCCGCGGCCTGGACTACCGATCTGAAGAGCGATCTGCAACAAAGCAGGTGTCGGCCATATTTACCACCGTTGCTGGGACACCGCTGAGGATCGCGGCTGGCAACAGCGTGGCACTTACATGACGCGTCATCAGGGGGAAAGCGAGAGACCGTTTCTTTGGACGTGGTAAGCACACCAGTCGAAGACGCGTTCCAGGCACCATAGTGCGTACTAGAAGTGTGTACTGGGGGAGGTATACTGCGAGGAAGGGGTTTCGGGGTTAGGGGGCTTGGCACCGGACGCTAACGGCCTCAGGTCTGGTTTTCCAATCGTCGGGCCAAGTGGCGGCGAGAGGAGAAGCTGCGCAGCCAGCGCCGCGCTGCGGAGTCCTCGGCGGCTGTCGGGGGACCCGTCCACGGACGCCTGGCTGGATCCCTGGCGGGCTACCCGGGACTGGGACAGCCCATGGCTGCCGCCATGCAGGACTCGTACAGGTGACCACTCTCTCTATATATATGTATAGAGTCCTCCTTTCGCGTGGGGATGCTGCCTGGGAACAGTGAAGGGTGACACCAACATCGTTATCAGTGGGCCAACTTTCCCAGGAATTGTGTACGCGGGGGTCAACTTAGTGAGACATTTTAAAAGTGGAGAGTGCGCGCTCGCAGCTCTCATCGGCACTCAAGGTGTGCGAGTACTCCCGTAGCTTTGGCTTCATTGCCACAGAAAGTTGCTCCTGAGTAGCGCTAATAGTAATAATAAGATGTTTCATTTGTACAGTGTACTTTCTTCCACTCGACCATCTGAGGTTCTAGACAGAATGATTCTTACCCTTATGCGGGGAAAGAGACAACAGAAAACGAACGATTTTGTTAAGATGAGACATATATTTAACGGAGAGCGACGATAAAAGAGTAAAATAATAAGAAAGGAAACGAAAGCACACGGAAAGTGAGTGCAGTGCCTTACGTCGTGTACTGTCCTCGAGTCCAAGAGGATTCGTCGAGGCCGAACGTCTGCAGGGTTGTGGCTCCAGCCTCGACGGCTCCCGGGGCCCCGGGCCGACGCCGGCGTAGCAAGCTGCAAGCCCCTCCTTAGCGTGGCACTACTTAGAAGTTGCCCCTTTGTCTTTGCCTCGAGAACACTCGTTTCAACCGCGAGGACAGAATATGGTGAACGGGGCGTTGATGATTCCCTGGTGGCCAGACTCCAGGCTGCGGTTGCTGTAGACTGGAGCATCTCCAGTGGACCGCCAAACTCTCCCTGCGCCAAGCTCTCCCTGCGCGAACGGCGTTGGAGGCAGGCCTCGAGGATATCAATCGTAGCACTGAAGGAGAAACTGGACAAACTATATATTTCACTGGCTTCTAACAACTGTTTGTTTTGTGACCGGAGGGAGGGGCGTGGGGGATGGCACATTAAACGTTTAAAAGTCCAGCCTTACAGCATTTTTACTTTGCAGCAATTCCTGACCTCCAAATTTTCCCGAAATTTCCCCAAAATTCTCCCCATAAGCTTCCTTCTTCTTCTTGGCCCTCTTTCGTCCACTTGTCCGCAAGGCGGCTGACATTCATTCTCTAATCGCCTTTGTAGACAGACCTTTCATGGAAGGCACGCACGAAATTGTCCCCGCTGTCACGTGTCCAGTGGGAGAAGGTTGAGCAGTGAGTGCGACAAGGAATTTCACTCAGACTAAAACTAATCTACAATTTAGGAAAAAAAAAAAAATTAAAGCGCAGCCTACCACAAGATAACTCGCTGGGGTTCATGTTTTGCGCACCGAAGACGAAATATCGAAGTCGCATCAGTCCTATTTGAAGTTGCGCAGAACGTGAGGTTGACATCCTTGAAGAGTGGTGACCCGGCTTCCGGATATCCCCACAACCAGCAGTTAACAAAATCATCCACGCGGTGCCGAAAAAAAAAAAAAAAAAAAAATCGAGGGCATACATTTTTGTTTTCTCGCCATGGCGCTCACAGTTGCGTTAACTGTTTGTAATGTATCTCATCAGAAAACTCGAAGCGCTGATACTAGCACATGAACGTAAAAAAAAAAAAAAAAAGCGTTTGCTCTAGGGTTCATGTAGCGTTGTGCAAAGCCTTCTTTGCTCGCCTTTCTTGTCTCGTTTTTCCTTTTTCGACCTGTCGCGCTGGGCCGTCTTCTTCGCGAGCTGTTCATCCTCTCCGAAGCCTCGTCGCGATATCCGCTTACCGTCATATAAGCGGGCTCGTCTCGTCGAGAGAGAAAACAAACATCGATTTTTCGGGGTCGCGGATGACGCAAGGAGCTCGCCCCGCTGCCGGTTCCCGGGGCTGCTTTGACAACCCCGGAGATTTCACAATGTCGCGTGCTCTCGACGTTTGACGCCCATGTACGGCTCGCGTCGACTAGGCCGCGCCTATATACTTCGTCTATTTTCTCTAGAAGTAGACAATAACTATTCGGGACATCGGGGATAAGAAGGAGGGGGGGGGGGGGTGCGAAGACTAAGAGGATTTCCTGCCCTCCTGTTCCGACGCCGCTGGTCAGAGAGACAGAATATGGAGAACGGCAAGGGGGGGAAGGGGGGGGGGGGGGGTCGTGCGATCGTATGCATGCTGGGCGATTGTTCATCGTGCGACCCCACCGACCTTTTTATTTCTCCCCTAAAAAACAAACAAAAAAACTGTAGCAAATAGGCCTCGTCCTCGACCGCTTTAGAAATAATAAAACCCATTGCCATAAAAAAAAGGAAGCTTTGGCGAGGTAGCCTTTTGCCGAGAGGTTTAGAGTTCATCCTCTCACCGCTTTCCTCCCACCTCTTTCCACTTTGGCAGAGCGAACGCTGGAAAAGGAGGCGACCTCCTCTCCAGCGTTCGCTCTGCTGAAGTGCAAAGGTGTGGGTGGATGTCTTCCCCCGAAACTGTTAATCTCCCTCTTACCAAAGTATAGGTAGACTCGTACAAAACAAGAGGTCGGATCACCTGGGCTGACCGAAACGGACGCCTCTTACCGCTCATTCCCACTGGAAGCGAATCCGCGTTCGCAAAGCGGTTGCGAACGCGGTTGTATAAAGATCCAGTACAATTGCACGCGCACTCGGTGACATCAAGTGCGCGTGCAATTGTACTGGATCTTTATACAACCGCGTTCGCAACCGCTTTGCGAACGCGGATCCGCTTCCAGTGTGAATGAGCGGTTAGTCTGCCATGCACTAAAGATCGCCTATACGAAGCTTTTATTTTTTTTTCATATCGAAAAATCAAAACAAACTCATGTTAAAAAAAAAAAAAAAAGATGAGACCGAATAATCTTACGTCTTGACTTAAAGAAGCGAAGTCTTCGTACGATAAGCAAATATTCCATGATGTTAGTTGAGAGCGGCCCGGCGTAGTTTGGAAAAAAATAAATGAGGTCATAAATTGAACTAAGATGTCCCCTTCTATAGGTGAATTAAATATAAAACGTCAATGTATGTCCGGTGTGGGTGTGGCGGAACGCTTTTTTTTTTTCACTTTTCACCTCCACAACCCACTGCTTATAATTATAATGCTCTCCCCTTTGTAATGCAAGCATACTAACGATGACGAAAATAGTCCCCGGAGAAGGGGAACAAGAGGGACAAACACAAATCTCCAAACACAGCTAGGTGACTGGTGCGCAACCGAAAAATTCCGCCTGGTCCAGGTATCGAACCCGGGACCTCTTCATTTCCAGTAGAGCTCTTTACCATTTCATTGCATTATAATCATACTAACGATACTTTTTTTCTAGATTAAACGGATGAAATCGAGGAATGTAATATATTTTTTTATGACTGAAAAACAACAAAAATAGTGACGTTGATCAACTACAAATGAAGCCGGTTACATATATAATAGAAAGCAAAAGGAATAAAATGTAGGGGGGACGAAACACGGACGAGTATAATTCTTTCTTTCAACTCACAACAAAGTTTGTTTTAAGTTGAAAAAATTAACACGTCTGTGTTTCGTCTATGTTATATTTTTTTTCTCTTTACTAGTATACTTTACGAACACGTTCGTTACGATTATAATACATATATAATTTTTCATTATCCTGTTGTCATTTTTCAGCAAACATGAAACTGGTAAAAGTGTCAACTACTTATAAAGGAGGCGATAAGAACATCTTGAACAATTACGGGCCTAAATTAGTGCTCCCTGTCTTCTCTAATGCACTCGAAAAATTTACCCTTACACGTCTCTCTTTCTTTCTTTTTTTGCAAAACACTTGAATTATTAAAGTTTCAGTTCGGTTTTTACCAAGTTAAATTGCAGAATATTGAAGAAAAAAAAAAGCTTTTTACGTTGCGTCTTTTTATGACGCGTAACGATAGTAAAGCGATCGATGTTCTAAATCACAACGTTATTTATTAGGCTATATCTAAAATTGAGAAAACGGTCTAGTAATCGATGGTCATTACTCTTCCTATCAAAACGTTATTGCCGGTGCTTCACAAGAAAGCATACTTGGGCCTCTTTTATTTAATGTATATATAAATTATATGGTAAACATCATTTACCAAGCTAAGTTTGTTATATACAATAATGATACGAGCCTTTTTTTTTCAGCTGACGCTGATATGCAAAGCAAGCAATATCTTAAGCCAATTCGAGACGTGGTCCAAAATCAAAGAATATTTTAAATATAAGCTAGCAACTATGTACATGGCATCACTTAAATTTCCTAATCATCCATTACGGCAAATTTCTAATTTAACTAACAAAAAGTTTGCATACGATATGCGCAGCGCCGGAACCTTGAGAGTACCACGTCCATGAACTAATTACGGGCTTCAAATGATTCAGCACACACTTTTAACAGTATTAATATTTTTTTTTCAAAGACCAAGGTGTCTGCATTGAAAACTTAAATAAGAAAAGATTGCGTGAAATATTATTCTCTAAATAACATATTTTTCGGTGTGGTGCATAAATGCTCTTTTTTGTTTTGTTTCAAATGATGTAATTGTATCCCGCTGACCGATCTGCCTGTAGGGGGCAGGGGCTTCGTCAAGCTGCAATTCTGCAATTGATTCTCCTGCCTCAATCGCCCATCTTGTATTATGGGAGTAAACAAAATGAATTGAATTGAATTGAAGTTAATGGCCTTAAAGTTAACAGAGAATTCCAAAGCCATATTATTTAGATATACTAATAAACCAGGCTCGATTAAAAATACAATCAAACATGGTGATTCGCACATTGAGTGGGTTAGCCAGCATAAAACTTTACGTGTACTTTTTTCCGAGTGTATGATACGGGATAGCCATGTTATCTATTTTATTGCTACACTTTCCCGAATTGTCGGCAATGTTGCCCGTTGTCGTAATGTTATTACCAATCAGTATTAAATTAAAAAAGTTACCACACATTATTTTTTGGTCTAATTTAAATTACTGTCATCTCGTATCGAGTAATAAAACGAAGACAAAGCTTAAAATCCTACTACTGCTTAAGAAAAAAGGTTTCTTGCCGGGTGATTTAATAC